TTAACAATTTCTTTAGCTCCCCAGCAATGCCCTGCGAATCTAACTCTACGCCCTTTGAAGATGGCTAATACCGGAAGAAGGTTTCCATACAATTTACTCATTGGTCAGACGATATCTCCACGTGGCATTCAAAGCCACTCTTAGCATGCGAGTGTAGGATTCATCCAATCTTCTTTCCAGATTTGAGCTAAGGGTCCATACCGAGCAACCATACAATAAAACTGAGGTAACAGTTGTTTGAAAGAGGCTCTTTTTTCATTTTGTCTGGAAGTCACACACACTAGAAAAGAATTAATGTTAGCTTTCTCAAGAATAAACTGAGTATTTATTATATTTGCAGCTGAGTCTCGAAACCCAGATCCACTTCGGTAAAAATTAAACGTCAAAATTTTAAAGAATTTCTTGCAGAGTGTAGCCAAATAAAGCAGGCGTCTTTGCTAGTGAAAGCTGAGCAGATCAAACCAGTTAATCAATATATCGACAGCGATGAAGTCGGTGGATAGCGATTCAATCAGTGATTGCTGTTACCAATCAGCCAGATCAAAGGAGACCTATCCGTGAGAAATCCGATTGCAATCTTGGTCTTACAGCTGAAAATGTTTGCTTCTAGCCTAGGGCGACAAAAGATTATTTCCTGTCAAATTCTTTTTCCCGTTTTTCTTAATGTGTTAATATAGGTCATTAGTTCGGTGTAGCTTACACACACACAGGTTTTATTTGTGTATGCGTATGTAATAATTGTGGTTTTCCCTTTAGCGCAGATATTCTCTTAACCTCTCTCTCTCTTTCTCTCTCTCTCTCTCTCTTTCTCTCTCTCTCTATATATATATATATATATATATATATATATATATATATATATATATATATGCATACAGAAAGAGATAAAATGGATATAATTAGTGTATATAGTTATATATATATATATATATATATATATGTGTGTGTGTGTGTGTGTGTGTGTGTGTGTGTGTGTGCTGGCGGTAATAAAACTGCAGTTTATGTAAAATAATAAATATGTATTTTATTCTTGACCGTTTGTACAACTCCGACGATTGCCACGTGCATAAAACTCAGAAAGAAGTATAATATATATATATATATATATATATATATATATATATATATATATATATATATATATAGGTAACATATCTCCATTCCTACATGTTTCATTGAATAATATTTTGATTATTTGTTTTTATAACAATCATTTATAGTTCTCTAATCTAGATGGAACGATGAAATTCATCAAGGAAGGCGCTCGAGTTTATTTCCTATACACGTACTTTCAAAGCCTTCCCAGATCATTCTCAGGGGTGAGTTACAAAGACAAACATATTGTACTTTTAAGGGAGCCAACCAGAAATTGATAGAAATGAAAAATGGTATTAAATGTTTGTTAAATGCACTTCAACGCGTTGCTGCTACACTCGTAATAAATTTCGATGAGTGTTGGTTTGTTGCTTCTGATATGCAGGGCCTCGAGTATTTGAAGTTTTTGTTTATTTTCGTGGTGTAGTATATTGATATTGTCAACAATATATATATATATATATATATATATATATATATATGTGTGTGTGTGTGTGTGTGTATGTATGTATTTGAAATTATAATTTTATTCATATCGCTTTCTCTAACACGAGAATATTCACTCTCACTTTTATATATATATATATATATATATATATATATGGGAGGTGTGTGCGTGTGCGTGTGTGTGTGTCATTATTTTGTACAGATTTATTATTCAAATAGTTAAACACACGTACACCCGTGTTTGTATACATTTTCTCTCCAGAATCTTACATATCTATAAGTCGACCATTAGCCCATGCTTAGAATATTTCTGCCACATATGGTCCGGTTCACTTGCCACATATCAAGAGATCCTTGATAAAATCCAAAGAAGAATCAGCAATATCATTGGTTCTGATCGGCTTTAGTCCCTTTCCCACCACCGCAATGTACTTTCCCTTAGACTTTTGTATAAAGCACTAGACTTACAACGAAGTCTTATAGATATGCAATTGCGTTGGCTAAATGTAACCGTAATTTGTATGCCAACAGCTTTTTTTCTCGCGCTTCTCGCTTGTGGAACAATTTCCGGCTCAATACTTTCCATCCATCTTCAACCTTTAAAAATTAAAATGCAATGTCAATTATCCTGATTACACTTCTTCTGTAGCCCCTCCTCAATGGTGTTTTTTTCTTCAACATCCAGTGACCCTTTAGGTCTCAGGCGCTTTAATGTTTTGCTTGGGATAAACTTGATTAATATATATACATATACATACATACATACACAGACATACATATATATGCATACATACACAGATATATATATATATATATATATATATATATATATATATATATATATATATATATACAGAAACACATGTATATATCTATGTGTGTGTGCCTGTGTCGAGCAACTGATTGAGAACGAAGTTAAAGTCTCAGTCGCCTGTTAAAAGTTCAACACTTCTATCTGACTTACAACGGCGTCATTTGCCAATGCTAAATTGTACGCAATAATTTTCACAAATTCTTATCTATATTTATATATACAGTGCTTGCAAAATTTTACAGCTCTTGTCTTTCTATTATGCATTAAGTTTCTAGTTTTCAACTATCCCCGGAAACGTTTACTTAATGTTCGTGAATGATAATGTGCTAATATAATGATCTCACAATAAATTCCCACGAGTGCTCAAATTATAAATCATTTTTTTTAAATATTATCTTTTCTCCATTTATTACATCTGGCAAGATCAAGTTTTTGAACTTTTCACTTTGATAACTAACTTTAACTTCATAAGTTTCCGAAGTAAAACAAATCGACAAAAATCGAAACGATGTGAATGAAATGTGTAAGGACATAACTTCCTTAGTTTAATATCACATAAAACAATCCACAATGCAAAAGAGAATCTAGTGCACATATATATAATTGTCAGTAAATTTAGATCTATTAATTTTACCACAGTTCATTTATTGTGGTTTCTTGAGAAGTATGCCAGTAGTTTGTCTGTAATAACTATTGACAGCAGAGGAAGCATCTTGTCTTTTCCTTCCAGTCAGTAGATACTTGTCATCTTAGAGATGAATATCCGGTGTTCAAGCGAACAATTCTATGCCTTCCAGCATTATTTCCAAGCATATCTCGGAGTTATTCTTCGGTCGATCCAATAACAAATAAATCATTTTCCCGATTGTCACATCAGATTCATAATGATGTACAAACAACAGAAATGTCATACAAACTTAACAGAAATTCGAGCTAACTCTAGATAGTAATAATGGGTAGGGTATTTAAGAAAATGGGTGTGCCGATTAAATGATAACCCCTGACTTGAATCTTTATTAATTAGTTTTTATTCACTCCATTATTTCATCTGTTGCTTTCGGCCAGTATGAGCTGCGTCCCGCGTCGCCCCAGATCCGATAAGTGGATCTTACATTCTATCGGTGATGTGTGACAGACAGATCAACTTCTCTCATGTATTATATATATATATATATATATATATATATATATATATATATATATATATATACTGCTTTCCAAAGGCATTTCTCGCGTTCGCTGATATCAGGCGCCGTTTGGGCCACAGATGTTTACCTCTAGTATCGGCATTGACAACGATTGAATCGCGGATCCTCCCGGCTGATGTCATTTCATATCAATCCTGCACCTGGATTACTTTGAAGATCAGGTGTAAAACTGAGGCCCAGCCTATTCCTGTATAATGCCACTATATAAATAATATGTACATTGGATGTATTAGCCATTGTTGTCTTTTTGTTTTTTTATAAATGAATCTGTTAAGAGACACCCGTGAAGAATAATCACAGTAAGAATCGTAATATTTAACTCGATGTAATTATTGTCATTTGTTTCTAAGGAAATGATACTAAATTTACAATAAGTCTGACTCTTTCAATATTTATATTCGCCAGGAATTAAAGACAGAACTATACCGAAGAATCCAAGTATTAGAAATTAAATGCAATTGAACTATCTTTGGTATCTCCTAGGGAAACGGCATCATAAGACAGGAAACAGACTTGTTAGAAAACTTCCGAACTACCGTCAAGAAGGCGACGTTAAAATCGCCTATCGTCCCGTTCCCTCTCTTCCTTCTCTTTTGAACAGGAATAAAGGTTTAACCCTTGTTTTCTGTTTAGGATTGAGTTTCCAGTTCATTCTCAATTCTACCTCAGTTATATACGCTTGCCTTTCCTACGCTAATATAACTCAGCACAGTAAACCTCTAACTTGAATGGCTCTTGGAACTTGGGTGACATGAGTAATAAAATAAAAAGAATGGCTAAATCACAGGAAACAACAATATTTCCAATACCATCCTTCAAGATCCCACCCTAGCAGAAGAAGCAAACAGAAGAAAAGTGGCTGACAAAGTCACTGTGTGAACTGGATGATATTTCACACACACACACGCGCGCGCGCGTGCGCGCACACACACACACACACAGATATTAGTACACAATCGTGTTCAGCTGCTCAGTGATAATTCGACCATATGTGGCCATAAAACTGATGCTAATGATGATTTTCATCTACTGGTGAGTGGTATTTTTGGAAATTCATGATACTATACTACGTTAAAAACTGTCCGTTGGTCACTTGGCAAAGCATTCTCACAGGATATTAAACGAAACTTATTAAATCCCTTATAAACATAGCCAGGGACATTTAGGGCCCTTATCTAAAACAAAACAAAAAAAAAACAATGAGAGCAACTTCATTTTATTTCTGAAAAAGAAGTGGATCAAAATCGAAACAAATAGGTTTTAAATTAAACCAAATCAAATTACAGTTGTATAATTATAAACTATTTCTCTGATTGAAGTAGTGAAAGGAAGAACTCTAAAGTATAAAATAGAACATATATTAGCACGTGCGATTTTTTACCCATAAAATCATCGTCAGGATTTTTGGAACATTCAGCAATAACAGCTAAGGTACTTACGGTTATATCACGTAGAAACATTGGTTCCCGTACGTTCGTGGAAGTTAAGCAACGTCGATCTTGCTCAGTACCTACATGTGTGACCGCTTGGGAATACCAGATGCTGTAAGCTTGGATACGAGCGTGGTGTAATGGGTAATTGTTATTATTCACTTACGCGCAAAATACCACTGGGAAAATAGGAACCTTCCAGCTATAGGTTAATTAGTAAGACTTGTATCATTAAAACCATTATTATTTTAAAAAAATAAAATAAAATTCTGTACAACATATACATATTTCGTTATTAAATAACCCATAGAGTTAGTATGCTGTCAAACAAAAACATCCAAATCTATATGGTAATGAGATATTAAATCAACAACATTAGCGCAAAGTTAGGCCTTCATTATAATGAAGGGATAACTTATAATTTGAATCTTTGTTCCTGACTAACAGTCATTGAAACGGTAACCAAATTTGCCACTGGGCTTCAGCAACATTTTATGCAACTTCGTTTTATAAATATTTATTAGACTTAGCTGGATCGATTAACTCAAGGTAGGTAGCAGTGAAGAAGTGGTTGCAGAGAATGAAGTCTAAAGTGACAATTGACTGTGTTGTGGTACGATACACCTAATTTACATAAGTGGAGTACCGACCATATAAATATGGGTTGGTACCGGAAGACGGGAGTAGGAAGAAGAGATCGAATCGAGAGTCTCTGCCCGACTGCGATTAAGTCAACCCATTCTGCAGGAACAGTCTTCCCAAGAATATACCAAAACTAACTGTAAATATTGTGTACCTTTTCCTTGTTTCAATACATTTTGTTTACGTACATTTTGTGTTGTATTATTATTATTCCATGCTTATCCAAGTTTCAACAATGGATCTCATCCTCGTCGCCATTGTTGAAACTTGGATAACACTAAGTTCTCTGCTTGAATCTTTGGATATTTTGGTCGCCGAAGAGAAGTGCGTTTTTCTGCTGAATTTAGAACCTCGGTTTGTAACCATTTTATGATATAAAAGAAGGCTTATGAGGCATAAAATTCTTCCAGTCTCAGGCAATCTGGCCGTAATCAGAGAAGGTTTTTTTTTAATTGTTTCTATCTTCATATTTGTAAAAATTGAAATGGTGGAAAAGGACTTTATTGTCCTCACGACGTTTCGGCCGCTGTACGCTCCGGCTCTGTTCAGGTGATATACGTTGGAATTTCGAACCAAACCCTTTATTTGGGTCTGGAATACAGATTTCTAGAGAAGAACAACAATAGCAAAAATTAAAATACGAGCTCCGGTAAAAAAAAATAAACACAAGAAAAAAAAAAAACCCATTACTGAGACATTAGTTTTATAAGTCCCCCAAAATAAGTGACTGATGTCCCAAAAGTTTACAAGGTCCAGTGGATAAAAGCGTTGGTTGAAGTAATCCTGTAACATGACGCGAAGAGTTGAGTTTAGAGTTGAACAAAACTTGGAGAGTTGAGTTACTAAAGGAAATTAACTGAAACTGAGACACCCAGGAATGGCATGTCATATGAAACTAAAACAATCTACCCCAGTGAACGAAATAAATGGTTCAGCTCAAAATTCCAACGTCTATCATCTGGAAAAGGCCGGAGTGTACAATGGCCGAATCATCGTGAATATTACAATAAAGATGGGGACAACAGTCCGAATATTGTAAATAGTGTAAATAGAAATGTGAATGAAGAAACGAGAAGTTGATAGTCATTCGATCAGAGACATACAAAATACTCACCCTTCTTCCACACTTATACATTGTAAAAGTATAGTTTGGTATTGATATCTAGTTAGAGAAAATTTATTTTTATTTATAGGCAATCTGAAATCCGAAGGCCCACTGGGATAGTGAAATATATCTTTCAAAAGCTGAGTAAAATATTAAACAAAAATATTGTAGATACAAATAAAAAATTACTGTAATGTAATATCATTTCACCTATATGACAATGTATTGTGGCCTTGTTAGAGCCAGAAATAAAGACACAAATCGATGAATTAAGTTAAATAAATATATTAACAGAAACATTAATACAACCAGATACAGACAAGAGTGTTACAGCAAGAATGTTCGGTCACACTGTCAGAGCTGACTTCTGGAAATTTTCCTCTCTAAAAGGCAGTACCTGTTCCTATTTATAGCTGGGAGAGTCCATGAGTGCGCGGGTGAATTACCAAAACAAAATGAATGCTGTAAAAGACGTGAAGCAGCAAAAATATGGTTCTACAGAAGGATGCTAAGAATACAATGAACCTAACATGTGAGCAACGACGAAGTTTTAGCGAAAATGGAAACAAAATTGATAATTAACATCAGCAAAAGACAGTTGAAATTTCTGCGTAACATAATGACTAAAGGGGGCTTGGATAAATTGATACACACAGGACAGATTGAAGGCAGGAAGGACAGATGAAAACAATTCATAACCTGACTAACGAGCTCAACGGATGAATGGAAAAACAAAATTTAGGAGAGATAACAAAAAGACAAAATGTATTAAGAGCTAAAAAAAGACAAAAAATTTTAGAGCGACATGATTACCAACGTCTTGAAGTAATATTGCACATGCAAGATGGTAAAGTGTCAATTAATATTTAGCTTCAAATGTGGTTATTCTAAACTGGCGTGAAGTGTTCTCCTTGTTGTCTAATCTGTGATCATTTAAAATCTGATTTCCACTTCTTTGCTTATCATTTGCGGGTGCTACTGTGCGTAAATCACACCTTGTCTTTATCCTGTATATATTAATATTTAATTAGTTACCGAAGGGCTTTGAGATCGGAAGATATGCATTCCCTTCGGTAAGCAATCTTTTATAACAAAACACGTAGTCTTGAATTTTCTAAGCGAGCCTGTTTTGTGATTCATTTGACTTAGATTGGTTCTTTCGATATAAAAGCGCATTCTCTCTGGTAACATTTATTTAAATCTCATATGCAACATCGGAAGTATCTATGATATACGCATATATCAATATATTTTCCCCACATAAAACGACTATATACACAAAGAGATGAAATGTATTACACCTATTCGATTTGATTTGTTTGTTTAACGGCACATCAACTCTGCATGGGTCATTTAATGCCAAAATTTAATTTTCTTGGGAGCTTTAAAGTAATAAAAGTATATGTTATTCTGTTTTCACAATAGAATACATGGTAGATGATACTCAGCTTTTGTGGATGCACATGTTTGTGTGGACATGATTGCTAAAGTCGGTGATATGTGCGTTTATGTTGATGCTTTGTTGAAGTTATATCTTGGAATACAGTTTGATTTCTTTAAGTAATTGTAGGATTTTATAAGGATTAATTCGTGAAAGAGTTCTTTCATATTGTTTTGTTGATTTGGTTTACTGGTATATGGGCTGTTTAATGCCGAAATCTTAATAATTCAAACGCTTTTATGGCTTCAAATAAATATTTTAAATGCAGTTTTATGCATAATTATATAAGATAATTTTTGTTCGTTTGTTATTTTGCTATGAAATGTGTATGTTCGTAATGTTTTTTTTTATATAAAAATGTATTGCTGGTATTTTTATTATAAAATGTATATTTGCACATTCATAGTGTTTCGTTCTTTTTGGAGGTTTATTGTTTACCCAAAATTGGGACCCTAACAGGTGCTACAACACCGTGGCATGGGAACAACAGCAACTAAAAGGTGGTTAAATGCACCTCAAAATCTCCAATCTCCCGATCAGAGTCCTTGCTGCCGGATGCAGTTTATGATCATACCCAGGGTTACCCATTGGAATATGTCTACTTTAGACGAGAATGTCGAACATTTTACTATGTCGATGTCGCCATATATTACGCAGTCTTTCGTATCGGTCATCTATCGTAAATAAAACATCCTTCGCAAAATGATATCAATCAAAATGTACTATTCTCTGTAAAGATGCGAATTGTTGAAAATATTAATTGTGAGTTTTATAAGATATTCGAATTCACTTGTCTAATGACAAAAGAATAGAAAAAGTGATTTACTTTGTTTTCTCACTCCTTTGTCTAGTATATTTATCAATTTTTAAGGGGATGTTCATGTAATTATGGCTTTCTATTATTCTTTTACAATATAGAAATCAGTTTAGTTTCTTTTCGTTATTTAGTTAAGTAGTTTATCTGACGAATCTACCCCGGATTCATTTAGTATGGGAGAATTTAATTGCTTTTTGCAATTTTGTAATGCACAACACCATATTCTGAAAGCAGACTATACTTGAAATACTGTGCATTTTGTGTTTTCTCAACATGAATGTTCTAAAGAACAACAGCTTCGTGTAACGGGTGTCGACGTGGAAAGTTGGGACGGGAAGATGAGTTTACTAACCTCCTTGTGAATGGGATGGATCTCGATCCCCTTCTCTAAGCTATGGGTTAAATAGCAGCGGAAACTGCCCTTGGGTGAAAACCAGTTCAAGAGGGTAAATCTGAATTTCAAACCGTGAAGAAGGAAACTGGAAATTACTTCAATATATTTCCCAAGAATGTATGGCAATTCGGAGATGATGATAATAAAAAGGAAGGTGTGGAGAGCCATGTTCATCTATGTTCTGAATGGATATATTATTAGAAAGATAACATGTATAATGAGAAATAAAAATGCCAATTAATTACATTTCCATTCGTTAAAGACTGCCATAGTTTCTTCACACACAAAAATAAACCTTACGATTTGGTGAAATTTGATTTAGCCTGGTAAAAGGTCAGGATAGTAAGAACCGATTAGGTATCGAATCCATTAATGATTAAACTAAGATATAAATTTGCACATTGTTCTCGTGCGTTAGATGCACTGAGCAGATATTTTTAGTGTGGTTTGTCCAAATCAGCTACATATGGAGAAAAACGATTGTGTCAGTTCAATGTGCCAAATAGTTAATAAAATCAGTATTTGAAATCGTTAACTTTAAATGAATTCTAAAATTACATACTAATATCTACAAAAAAACTTGATATAGCCCAGTAGTATTATGGCATTGTGAGTATCGAAATCATTACTCAGCAGTAATAGTTACCCAGGATAGCATGACCAATATGACACACCGTCAAGTCACCCATCTGAATGCGTTTTTTTTTCTTCTCTTACAAT